AATGTACGAATTTCAAATGTCCGCAGACTGTGAGGTGTGGAGAAGAGGACCCACCTAACTCTGGGTGGATATGCGCTGCATGATGGTGGCTCCACTGACTCTGGGACTCTGGGTCTTGCTCGCAGGTGCTGGACAGTGGAGAACCCGGAGGAGGAGGAGAATGGACCTGCGAGCAATCCTTATGACTACAGGAGGCTCCTGTGCAAAACCTCCCAGCGCAGGTGCCTCGTCCAGCAGGTGTAGTCCCACTCCACAGTGGCTGTCAGAATGTCTCAAGACTGCGTGGTGCAGGGGCCAAAGCGGGGGACTCTCAGCTGCTGAAGTCTGGCTTTGGTAGGGGCTGCCCACTGCGCTCTCCCCTGGAGTGCACCCGCCAGCCTTTAGTGCTCAGAAGGCAGAGACCTGGGAGCTTTTTCAAGCTGACTCATCACTCTCCCGCACTCTCTACTCCCACCAGCCCATCAGTTGGGGCACCCCTGTCCCTGGCCCCCAGTGCTGCTCTTTGTCCAATTGTTTGCAATTCCTTCTGAGAACCCGATGGCACCTGAGCTCTCATTGACCCCTCCTCTCTCATTTTGGGTGACTTAAAATATTTTCTGTTTCATGGAAACGCCTCTCCCAGGCCTGCGGGCCACTTGGGGAAGGGTTGAGTCTGTGAAAACGGAATAAAGCCCCGGTGGGAGCAGAATCGTGGGGATGGTGGGGAAGTTTTGACCATGAACTTTATTTTAAACTTGCGCTTTCCCTTCCCTTAAGGTTACTAAATAAAGGAGAATCCCTGGCTTTCTGGGCTGGTAGGCTTTGTTCCCACTGGAGGTCCAGCTCCTGCGACCCTGCTGTGCAGGTTGGGGTGACCAGGGAGGGGGACAAAGTGCTTTCTGTCTCCATCAGCGAACAACCCACCACCATCACCTCAACGCACATACAACCTGTACTTGTGACACAAACTTGGCCTCCAGACAAATCTCCAAATCCCCCCCCCCCAAACACACAGCTTGGGAGTGCACAAACACACACACATACACACACAGCCTTCCCAAACACCATGGCTTCCTTTGGTCCCACCTATAAAATTTTTGGTCCACTACTGAGTGAACTGTCAAATATTTAGGTTCTTCCCGTCTACAGATTTGAGGCAATCTCCGCTGCTCTGAATTTTGGTAAATTTATGATGGAGGGGAGGACAGCAGTGGGTGGGCAGAGGTTTGCATTCATTGGTTGGTGGATTTTATTTTAAAATCCGGGTTGAGCTCTTCTATAAAACTGACACCCTTTGTGTCTAGGCGACCTGGAGAGGGCATAGGAAGTGGTGTGGCGGTTTCAATGACGACATTGGGAGGAGGGTCCCTTCTGGGGCTTGTCCCTTCTGCAGGTATTCCTGGCACTTACACACATGGCCCAGAGCCAGGAGGCTTTGAGGAAATATTCCAGGAGAAGGTGAGGGCCAGTGCAGCCAGCTGATAATGTTTGTTGTGCTGCTGGGCCACAAAACGTCATCAGTTTTTTTCCTACCCAAAGAGTGGGCTCTGACAGGTCCTCTGCAATAACTCGTGCAAATTTAATTTTACAAATGAGGTACCCAGAGGAAAAACCTCCTGCTGTGGCAGGGTTGAGCTCGAAGGTCAAGTGTACTCTATGAAAGGAGGCCCTGCTCTTTCCTCAGGTTCTAGCCACGGCCTCTGCCCAGGGTTGTGAACCAAGGAAGCAGCAATCCCCTGCTGTGTGGACTCAGGTTGTAGCTTTGGCTGGTTGTAGCCTGGCCCAGACACCCAGGAAATCTGCGCTGCAGGACAGGATTCACTGGCGGGTCTGGGGAGGAAAGGATCCCATTACCCAAGGTGGCCCGGACCCCTCCGCCCCTACCAAGCGCTCAGGCCACCAGGAAGAGGCCTTTAGGGGTAAAAGCCGGGCTTCCTGTCAAGCCCCTTCTTCAATCCTGGCCTCCTGACTGGCCCCTGAAGATCAGAGCACTGGCAACCTGGCCCTTCCATTGCTGAAAGAGAAGGCCTTTCTCTCCATCCCCTCCCTGCTTTTAAAGTAGGACCGGAAAAGAGAATGGCAAAGGTTTGGTGAAAGGATACGTTTTTGTTTTTGTTTTTGTATTTCCTCCTTTCTCTTTCTTGCCATCTTCTTTCTCTGTCCTTCGACATGTAAGCACTAGGAGGACATAAGGGGAAAATTGTACCATACACTCTTCTTTGTCGGCCCGCAATGTGATCTCTGATTAATACACCAACAAAATATAGGTCAGCCAAGGCAGCTGGCAGCAAGCGCCTGGGAGCCTGGGTCTCTCTCCCCTTCTGCAGGAAGGGCCTGGGAAAGCTTTTCCCCAGCACTGGTCAGCCTTTCCTTCCCATTCTGAGGCTGCCTCCTTTGTGAACTAATGACTGTAATTATTACCTCCCAGAGCGCTTTTGTTATCTACAACCTCAAACCCAACAAGGGGGGTGGGAGTGGGCTCTTTTGTGGAATAAGCATTTATAAAGTTATAAAGCAAATTGCAGTCCAGGGAGGGATGGCCTTACAGAAAGAAAAATCAGATCCCGAGTGCACCAGAAGTAGAAGGTGTTAAATTAAAAATGTAAATATTACCCTTTCTTTCAAAGTAGTCCAGAGCTGTGGGATTTAATGGAGTAGAATTTTAAATCACTGAGCTTTTAAAATCTGTGAGATCCAGGTGTGATTTCTACCTTCCTCTTGTTTTAATTTATTTTGTCCTTCAGGAATTTGTGTATTTGTGTTAAATGCTTGTTTTAAAAAACCTTTCTGTTTTCGACCACTCATCCATAGTTGAAAAGTTCTGCCACCCCAGCCTGCTGGCGTGAAGTGAAATATTTGTAAGATTTGGTGTGGAGTTAAACAAAGAACCGGTCTCTCCTACGTGTATCTGCACTGCCAAAGCAAGAACTACGAAACTTCCTTGCCCTCGGCTCAGAACGTGGAACCACCAAATCATTACACCCCAGGAATTGTTACCTGGTTTCACTGGAGCACTGGAGTCTCCAGCACCCTAAAGAAGGGCTGAAATGAGACCTGGTTTGGTGCTCACCTTGTGCCTGCAGCTTTGTGCAGGCTCTGAACAGAACTGGCTCTACACCCTTCCCTGCGCCCATGCCCAGAGTGGGCCCCTTGGCCATGGTATAGATTGAATGGCTCCTTCCCGCTCAGGCATGTGGGAAGAAGACAAATCTTTGTGGAGACAATTGACCAGGCCTTCAACTCCTGGGACACAGGAGTTGAACTTGCATGCGGCCATCCTGGGCCCCACAAAGCCCTTCCTAAGCCAGGGTCAAGGGGTGGTAGCCAAGACTGAGGATCCATGGATCTCTCCGCATTGGCAGCAGCTTTGGTGATTTGGTTAAGAGTGGCTGGAATACAAAGGAAATGAAAAGCATTTGCCCAAGGGGAGCAGTACGCCAGGAATGAATGCCTCAGGAGGCTGGAAGCAGCCCTTTCCCACTGGTCCTCCTCGCCCTTCTTTCCACCCACCCAGGAACCGCTTAGCATGTGGAACGCTCCTCTCTCTACTGCTAAGAAAAAGCGATGGAACTCAACTGGTCTCTGAATTCTCAGGGCACCCTCCCTTTGTTTAACAAATTTTGGAGAAAGAAAATTTTAAGAGAGGAGAGACTTGAACTTCCTCAGTAGAGGAGAAACCATATTTCAACAGGCCACAGAAATAGCCAATTCTTCATTCCCCCCCCCCCACACACACACATACACATACACACACATACACACAATCTTAAAGATGCTCAGGGGGAAGGGGGTCATTGATTTGAGGCCCAGCAGGAGATGCCTTCTTTCCACCTCGGATTTGGGAAGCTCAAACAGTACAGAATTTGGAAACTCTGTGCACTCCTCCTATGCACCCACCGATTCCCGTCACACATAAGAAGCGACCCTTTCATGCCTGGTGGGCCAAGGTCAAAGATGACCCAATCCCATCACCCATCGATTTTCAATCCTGCCAATTCTAATTGCTTTCCCTGGCTGCTCTTACTCCCCTTCCAAGAAGTTCCCATTTGTTTTATTTTTCTCCAGCCAAGGCCCTAGGTGATAGATTCTAGCGTGGATTTTAGTTGTTTCAATGGGCAGTCTTTCTCCCAGCCTCAGTCAGAGAAGCTGAAAGGTGGGTCGAAAGACCTCTCGCTCTACAGCGCAGCACGAGTGCACCACCCGGGACCTCGCAGCTCAGTAGGCAGGCATTAGGCGCTACTAGGAGCTGAAATGAGCCCATTAACCAAAGAAACCCTTCCCCCACCATCCCCTCTGCAAGCTCCAGAACCACTCCAGATTCTGGCCCAGCTGCTGGGCTCTCAGAGACCCCAGCACTCTCTTGAAGAAAGGCGAGGTGGGAACCCCCGCCTCTTCTTGTGGGAGCCAGACCTCAAACGGTAGGCCAATCTGTGCGTCTGTAAGACTCTTCTCCGCCACCCTTCCCGCCTGGCCAAGGTCTCTAGTCCACCCTTCCCAGAGGCCAGCGGGAAGTCAGCCGCGTTAGCACCCTGGACAGCGGTGAAGCCGGCAGCCCTCGCCTGGCCCGCTGCGGGAGCTCGCCTGAACACCTCCCACCCACTCACTCCCAATCCAGCTCTTGGGAACAGTCTGACTCTCACCCTCATGATTCAGCTCCCTCCCTCTCCCATTTTTGCCTCTGCAGCCCCCTGATCCATCCGCAGTGGGTTTCCTCGCCTTTAAAATCATTCTGGCTCTCAGAGCTTTCCCCTCTCCTGTCTGTGAGAATCCGCCGGTCCCCTTCCCTATTTAACATTCACAGCTTTCAGAGCTTTGCCTAGTCTAGAAACCCTAAGTAACTCCAACACACACACACACACACACACACACACACGCACACACGCACGTTTTCTGCCCCTGAGTGAAACTCACCCTCTGTCCCGCGGCCACGCAGGTCCCCGCGCGGTGTCCTCCTCCTTCTACACACAGGCACGCGGGCGCGCTGTCGGAGCCTAGGGCAGCTCGCCGACACTTCGCACTCAGAGGAGATCTGCTCCAATCTCGCAGCGCCAATGGCATCTCCTGGCTCCAGCTTTTGGTCCTTCGGGTCTGAAGATGGCTCCGGGGATCCCGAGAACCCCAGCACAGGTAGGAGAATCAGGACCTGCAGCAGGAGAGCTTTGAGGGTGGACTGGGGTTTGCGGAGCTAGGGAAGACGAAGGAGGTTTTCCACCTGCAACAGGAAACTTTGGTGGCTTCGCCCTGCTCTCCGGGTTGGTTCCTGATGGCCCAAGAGACCAAAACCCTACAGGTCTTTATCCCATAAGAAGACGCTCCAAGAATCCTGGGCCTATTCCACCGAAGTCCGGGCGAGCCGACCCATGACAGGCGCCTCCTGGACCCTCAATTCCGGGGGCCTGGGACACTGCCACCATCTTGGTGTCTGGACCCTGGAATGGGACAGAGTAGCAGTGTGGAAAGGAAAAATTGGAATGGGAAGAAAATTACTGGTTTAAAAGGAGAGCCTGCGAGGAAATGGACAGGCTCGGAGTGTAGGAAAACTCGCCCCAGCGAGCAGGTAGGGGAGGGAGTTTGCCTGAACCGACTGGCACTAAAAGGAAAATGCAGGGGGCCGTGATGTGGGCTTCTCCTTGGGTAAAGAATCGGAAAACTGAGGGCCAGGAGGGATCGCCGAGCTTCCGCGCACCTCCCGCACGTGCCTGCGGTGCCGAACCCTGGGTGCCCCATCCTGCACCCCGGTTTATTGGCGTTGTTCACATAAAACAAAATTTCACACTTCCATCTGTCTGCTCTTCTCTTTCTGCCTCGCCGACCTTCTGCCTGCCTTTTTTTACAGCGAGAGCCTGGTGTCAGGTGGCCCAGAAGTTCAGGGGTGGCATCAGAAACAAGCTGTGCAGTGAGTGCCAGTGCCCAGGGGGTGGGAGGTGAACTGGGCGACGTGCCTCGGGCCGCGGGCCGCGGTGCACAGCCACCTTCTCAGCTCTGCATCCCCAGCAGTGGAGTCCGGGTTACTTGGTCCAGGATGGGAAGGGGCTAGGGAGCCCAGCGCTTCCGCGGCTGAGCGAGATCCACGTTCCGTGTCCTTGCCCAGCTCTGCTCTACGGAGACTGGAGACTGAGATGCCCAGAAGCCTTCGGAGAGTGGTTCAAGCGAGTCCCCACGGGTCACCTCCGGGAAGACGGCCTGTGCTTGCAGCTGTCTCAAGGGGATGTCAACTATGCGTTTCTACACTCAACAGGTAAAGGCGCCTCGCTGGGCACCCGGGAGCCACTGCCCCTCGCTCTGCCCCACCCACTGCCACAGGGAAGAACCCGGCACTGTGAACCCTACCCCAAACTTCCAGGTAGAAGGCCGAGGCCCACCTTAGGATAATCTTCAGCTGAAAATGAGACATGCAGGGCTTGTTTCCTGGGTCCGAGACTTGATCACAGTCCCTGCAGGCACTGCGAGCTCATGTTGGAACTGGGCCCTGGGGCCAGGGCGCTCTTCCCCTAGCGCCTCCCTTGGGGCTGCAAGTGGCCGGGGTGTCTCTGCGTTGAGCTCCTGGTTGGCTTCTTTGGGCCGCTGAGGCCTAGGGTGGGACTCTATTCCCAGTTCAAAGCGCAAAGACTTTCTAAGTCTTTACATCCTAAGAGTAATTTGTAGTTGTGATTTTACGGAAATATTTTATTCACGTGAGAACTGCATGCGGTTTTGCTTCCTTGTGTTTACACACCTAGTTATCCAAACGCGCATCACACACACACACACACACACACACACACACACACAACCACACCACTTTGGAAACAGCAGGCCTTCCTAATTGGTCAGAGATCCTAATTTTGCATGTTCCAATTTGCCTGGTTTGCAGAAAGGCCGTCCACAAACATTTCTGACATGGATAATTTCCATAATCATTTAGGATGATTTACTGAGAAATAACATTTAGGACGAACCCCTGCGAAGATGCACACTCTCTTTTAAAAAGAAAGCAAATAAGTTTTGAATTGAAATACAAGAATTCATTTGGGGTGAGTGGGTGGGAGAAATACTAAATTCTCTCATTTCTTCATCTTTGAGAAATGCTTCCCTTTTAAAGTAAACGCTCTGCGTTTCTAGAAGATTTTTTAAACACACAATCACTCAGTTCATAAAGAAACTGCTGGAGCAAGATCTTGCCTGGGTGTTTTCATAGCAAAATTAAAATGTGTCATTTTGAGTCCATTCCTTAGACCTACTACCAGCCTGTGATGGAGAAAGACCCACCCTGGCGTTTCTGCAGGATGTTATGGATATTTTGCTGCAGTATGTGGTGAAAAGTTTCGATAGATCAACCAAAGTGATTGATTTCCATTACCCTAATGAGCTTCTTCAAGAACATAATTGGGAATTGGCAGACCAACCACAAAATTTGGAGGAAATTTTGATGCATTGCCAAACAACTCTAAAATATGCAATTAAAACAGGTATTGTCCCATCAGAAATAATAAAGCTCTTTTTCCTTTCACAATATTTTTTTATAATAATTTCTTGTTTTTTGAAGTTATTGATATTTTCAAATTTATAAAACATTTTCATCATTTAAAAAATAGTCATTATTAGAATGATTCAAATCAAAAGCACCCTTTACTATTAGTGCTAATGCTTCTGAAGTTGATGTCAGAAACATTACCTAATTATAAATCATCATATTTTACATTGCACATATTTGGTCATGGAGGTTAACCACTGATGTAGACACAACCATTTGTCAGCAGAGGCCAGTAGAAGTGACCCAAAATGCAGAAAAAGGGGAATATGGAAATTAATACTCACAAAAACATGATTCAAACAAAATACTAATGTAGTGCTGGTAATTTTCTTTGCACAGGAAGGGTCAAAAGTTGGACAAATCATCCTATGTAATTATTGATCCAGAGGGATAATATTTTGGCATTGTCTCAAGTGGCCAGCACTTTAGATTTGAACTTCAAGTTGTCCCTATTTTTAAGGAATGTACACAAAAGAAAACACAATTCCAACTGCCTTAATAATTCAGCCATATTATATAAGAATGTGTGCTTCATGGCCACTTTGTATATAAGATAAAGGAGAAGAAGGGAGGCGGTGAAGGAAATCAGATATCCTTAGGGGAAAATGTATTGCTTTTTCACAGTACTCTTCATACTTTGTCCATGTTATAATGCCAGGTGTACCGTTTGTTTGGGTGCATTCTAAGTTTTAATTTTGTCTACACAAAGTCAGCTATTCATCTCCCAAGTCATGATTACCCCTTTCTTTCCTACATGGTCTCTAATTATCCGGATACAAGGTGGCATTACACTTCATTAGAGCAATAAAAATGACTGAATTTTCAGGAGAGTGGGGGAAGAAAAGATCTTTGCTGTGTGATTTTAGACCTGTGTGTGTGTGTGTGTGTGTGTGCGTGTGTGTGTGTGTGTGAGGGTTCTTTGTACATTCTTTATACCAACAGAGAAGAAAGGTATGCATAGAAGAAACCTTAGTAAATTGGTTTACTGACTTATTAGTATCCACTTTTGTGAGACTATAGATTTAAAACTGGATACATAGGGAAAAGAATTTAGTATGGTGATTTCTATCAAACTCTGTGCAGAACGGATTTTGAAGGCTTATTGGATATCATTCTCAATTATGTTCACAGAGAATTCACATGATGTATATACTAGGTATTAAAGATTTTTTTTCTTCCAGCTTTTCATGTGTCTGTAAGTACAAACCTGAACAATGCTTTTAATTCATTTTTGTTAGACCCATTCTCCTAACCTAATATTTAAATGTTAATAGTAAAATGCTACCTATTATTATTATATTTTATTATTTTGCTACCAAACAAAAAATAATCTATACAAATGTTTTACATCTTCATCCTTAAAAGCTGGTGGTGTCTGAAATACAATTTAAAGAGTTAAGATAATGGGAATTGCAAGTCAATGAAAGTAATTCTGTCTGTCAATGTTCCATTTAGGAAATACATGGGTCAATTCAATTTGTTGATTTTTCCCATAATGCTTGTAAAACTTTTGGTTAAGTGTAGCTCTAATGCATGTTATTTAAAGTTCAGAAAAAATATGATTGATTAAGTTGGATTTCTAAGCAATTAATTCAATATCAATATTATTCATTACATACATAGTCTCTCCCCTATCCTCAAATAACATTTCAAAGAATTAACAGCAATCACTTTTTCTTTCTAACTAGCAAGGTTATAAGTTCTTATGCTATAACTTGACAACTAGTACTATTTAGGGTCTGTAAAGTAGTTACTACCCTGCTATATTAAATGACATCTTTGTCTTTTGTTAAAATTACCTCTGTAAGAAATACTAAAACTGAAAACTGCTGAGAATGATAGAATCCTGAAACAATTAGCATTTGCAGGGGTTCTTAGATTTGGTGGTGATTGTGGCTGGGTGCTGGAGGGGTTAAATGTTGTCTTGTCTCTTTTAACCAAACCATCAAACAAAGGAATTGAAGGGTCAGTGAGTGAGGCCTTGTGTGCGTGTTGCCAGTACAAAGAGAGCAGTTTGGGCACCCTTAGCCCCCTCCCCAACTGATTGTGGACAAGAAGTCTGTGCATCCTTCCTGGCTCACTTGCTAATCTTTGGGGAGCATTCCAGAGCCTGGGGGGGCTTTAATCTCACCCTTCAAACTCCCTGTCTCCCTGGCTGCTCAGACTTTCTTGGCTACCTGATTCCTGGCACAGAGCCTCACTGCACAAGGCCTGGGGTGGGGGTGGGGGGCAGCAGCTGCAGCTGGATGTTAGGGCCACCAGGACAGCTGGCAAGCTCCTGGGCAGGTCTCTCACACCCTTTCTCTCAGAGAGCCCTGCCTACATTCACCCGCAGCTTGTAGAGGACATGCAAAGGGAGCAAAATAATATTTCTATAGACTATTTCTGCAGAAATCAAGAGGTCATGTTGTTCTGACCTGCCATACTATCTTTCTCTATATTTTCACATGATTATCAGTGAATAAAATTTGAGGAAGGACATATTCAGGGGAAATGAGAGACCAAGGCCAAAAAAATATAGAAGGGACATAGTCTACCAAAGCATTAAATCTGTTTCCACAGTTTCCCTAAGGCAGTCATCAGGGACACTTGTCTTCTGACATCCTGGGATACAACACACTCCTTGGAATCCCTCCCAATTTTATGCAGAGGTTTTCATGACAAAGTTTCCACAGAGTTAAATAGTGTGTGATAGTAGACACCAGATTCATAGAGAAAATGCATATGAATTGGTAGAGTAGATTAACAGATAGATTTGCTAATCCTGGCTTTGAAGAAATGTCTCAAGGCAAGAGAAATGCAGGGGCACCTGGAGGGAGCAGAGGGCTATGATTTCAGCTGTGAGCGCTAATGAAATGGGGAGTCAATGAGGCAGAGAGGAGTGGAGGGTGGTTCCAGAGGCCAGCAGCCATGCAGCCAGAAAGAGGCTTTTTCACTTTCTGTGGATGCATAAACTGACAGGGTCAGCATCACTGGGCCTGGAAAAGAGCAAAAAAATAGAAGGGCACTGTGCAAGGCCATAGGGCGGTAAAACAATGGTGGAGATCTGGTTGAGAGCTGCACAAAACTCAATCTCTCAAATATGCTCTTTTTTTTCCAGCTCCCATCTTTTCTTAGCATCTAATTGTCTAGCCACATGCCAGAGGCTGATAAGAGAGCACTCCAGTCCTAGAGATAAGAGATGCCTTGACTTTGTCCCTGCTTTCCGCATTGCCTTTTTAATCTTGTTTTGCCCATACTGGCATGAGAGACCATCACATCCCCAGGCTTCAGACATGTGTCCAGTAACTGGCAGGTGCCTTTTTATCAGATGCTATTTCCATAATTGTTCATCTTCCAATATTTTTGCTGCTAAGCACATCACAGATTTATAGATAGGTTTTTATGGGGAAAGACAAGAAAGTGGAATTCTATTCACATTTAAAATAATAGCCTCAGGAGTATTTGGATGTCAACCCCTTTAGAGAGTCTAAGAGAAATCCAGAAATTAATTAGATAAGCCTTGCTAATGGATTGATCGGTCCATTGACTATATCTTCATGTATCTTGTTGACAAGACAGTGATGCTGACTGTATTCATCTTTATTTTAAATCGCAGCTGTGAAGGAGTTCTGTTGTTTATAATTAAATATTTGGACAGAAAAGAATTGACAAGAATTAGGTTTCCCCATGCCATCTTTAGACAATCATCACCTTTTGAATCCAGGGCAAATCATTCAACAGAATGTCCTATTTTCTCATTTTTGCCTTGTCTTTTGTAATCATCAGCCATTTGTCACTGATATTATTATGAATGTTGGCGTGCCTGACGAATGGCATGGTATGACTGATTCCAGAACAGCTTCAACAAAAGAGGATTTTTAGCAGCACCAGTGTAAACAAGAAAAGCCTGTCTGTGAATCGCGTCGAATTGCACTAGCACTGTACTTTCCAAGTACATTGAAAGAATGCTAGGAAATAAGGTAGTATCCACATTGCAGACCACACTTGAGATTTTTTTTTTTTTTATCCTCACCTGAGGACATTCTTCAATATCTTGTTCAGATAGAGTGGAAGGGAGAGAGAGAGAAAGAGAGAAACATCGATGGGAAAGGGACACATTGAGTGGCCGCCACTCACACGACCCAACCAGGAGCGGGGACAAACCACAAACAAGGCACGTGCCCTTAGCAGAAACCGAACCTGGGTCTCTTCAGACCACAGGCTGATGCTCTAACCACTGAGCAAAACCGGCCAGGGCACACACTTGTGATTTTTAATAGGGAATATTTAAGGGATTATTTTTAGAGTGTGTTTTAAGAAATACCAAAAAATCCAAAATAGTCTCTCTCGTTATAGGAAATATTCCTTGGGGGAGGGGAGGGGGTGCGCACGTGCATGTATGTTGGGTTTCTGAATATGGATTTCCTATTACTGATGGATCTTTCAAGGTTTTTTAGCAAGAGAAATGTGTGCTTGAGAGGCATTTGTTTTTGTTGGATGCAGTCCTTATTCCGGTATTCCATTTTATTCAGGGCATCCCAGATATTTCAATCAACTCTCCACAGGACTGGATATGGTTGGATTAGCAGCAGACTGGCTGACATCAACAGCAAACACTAACATGTAAGTAGGTAAATGTGTTTTTAATGTGTAATCCAGGATAATTATTAATGAGGTTCCATAGTCTTTATTCTATCTCTCATGTGAAAATCTCTTTTATTAAGAAACCCCTAAAACAGTGATATGGACATCAGATGTGAATTGCTATTTACTGTAGCTTAATAGAATAAGTCCTGCTACAACTTTCATGCAAAGCCATACAACATTTTTTAATACAAAAGGGACTTTTTTTTTTTTTGCATTTTGGACTTATAATTGTGTATACTGTAAACAAGAAATGAAACTAGATGTCTTTTAAATGGTGTTACTCAACAATGGTCTTTATTCAATATGATAAATGTCTCTTGTGCACTAAGCTAATAATTGAAGCTCTTAACTTTACAAATATAGAAAAATGGGCAAGAAGACATAATTTTCTCTCTGTTTAATATATAATCATAACATTTGTGAATGTAGGCTTTGAAAAAGGAAACTATTCTATAGATGTTGTACTGGTGAATTATTTATTTGAGTTACAAACATAAAATGTGGTCATTACTACATTTCAGGTTCACTTATGAAATTGCTCCAGTGTTTGTGCTTTTGGAATATGTCACACTAAAGAAAATGAGAGAAATCATTGGCTGGCCAGGGGGCTCTGGCGATGGGATATTTTCTCCAGGTATATGATATTTCAACTTTTCTTTGTGTTTCTTTCTTCTGATATGCAGTGCCCTATTATGAACCTAGGAAATTTTAAATATCTTGTCTGAATTTCTGCTTAGGTTAAATAGGTTGTTTATGAATCAAAAGAATGAGTTCATTAAGTGCACATAACCATTGGCCATGCCTCCAAGCCAACTACTCATGCCTGAGCATTAGTTATTTGTGTTCAAAAAGAGCATAAACAAGGATGATATTTACCCAGGACTTCTACTGGGATCCCAACACAGGATGTATGGATCATGTGGAACAAAAGAATAAAGATTCTTAATATGAGAATTCACTCTCCGATGCTCTTCCCAGAAACAGAGAGAGGAAAGGGGTAGCCTCATCTAATACAGCGTTCTCTGTTTGAAAGCGGATGACAGGCAGACCTACTTAATAGATCTTACGAACCTTGTCCCTTTCAAGCAACAAGCAGAAAAGCTGATTTACACTAATTTCAAGGAGGGCAGAGAGTGCCTTGGGAGATAGTTTGTTAGAGCTAAAAGAGAGGGTGATGATTTTGTCACAAATTTCCCCATTCCTTCTCTTCTTTATCATGCATTTCAGTCTTTTCCTTCCTGCCCTTACCGCCCTCCATTGCATTCTAAGCTCCGTTATTTACACCTCTTCCAGCCAAGAGAATCGACCTGAAACAAAGGCCTGCCCTTGGTTCCCGGGTGTGTTTGTGACCTTGGTTTGATGCAGAGAAGAAAACAGAAGTGAGGAAGGCAGTGGGAAAAGAGAGTCACTGACCCATGGAAAAAACTGGTGTGCAGATCAACACCTAATCAGTGGCAGGAAAGAGGTCATTATAATGGGTGGGTGCTCCCCTAGGGGAGCCATTGTTTGTGCCAGCCCTAGCAAAGGCCACTCTGTGATCTCTCTCCAGCAAATTTACCAAGACCAGGGGGATGGGGGTGGGGGTGGTAAAGAACAGATGGAGAGAAGAAATGATAAATGAACAACAGTGGTTTCAAGGCCAGGGTTTAAATCAAGCAGCTTTACCTGCAAGCTTGGATCTGCTATTTTACTTTATGTTTTTAAAGCTATAGCACTTTTTTTTTTTTTTCAGGTGCTGAAGGAAAACCTGTTAGTTAAATTGTAGGGAAAATTTGCCTTTTCCTTTTAAGTCATTGAACACCAGCTGTGATGAATTTTAAGCTAGCCTTTATTTTGTAGAGAAGTTAGTACTTAGTTTTTCTCTGGAAAACTGTCCCCTGTTGAGGGAACTTTGTCATCATTGCCTGGAACTGATGCTCTTAAGACGTAAAGTATTTTTCATGAGCAATTAGGTAGGGTTCAGAGATCAACATCACTTCTACCTTTATTCTTTCTCCTCTTATAAGGTTGGTTTTATGATCGAGTTGTCCCTGAGGGTGCCAAGAACATCCCAGGCTCCGTTTTGATGGTTCCCAGGAGGGACGAGAGAACAGCTGCTAACAGCTGCTCTTGTGGACCCTAAAAAATTGACTAAAAGGGCTTGGCTCAGGCCAGAAAATGTACACCCAGAGAAAGCAGCCTCTCTGGCAGTTCTGCTAAGCCAGGTCTGGACTTAGGGCTTCCTTGCCACCCTCATCAATGACAGGGAATGATCAAGGGAAGGGGTTAGACAAGACTTAGGTTTGATCATGGGGCTCCTCCCTTGGGCCCTAAAGACCCAAAATGGAAGCCATAGATGTCATGCTACAAGGTAATGCAGACATTGCAAAGTGGGGAGGGAACACAAGAAAAGGCCACTGGCAACCTGTTTCTTCCCTGCCCTCTGTAGACATTACAGAGGAAAGGTCGAGAGCATCTTTAATCACTAATGGCTGCCGTTGTAGGTAGCAGTCGGCCTCCGTATTCCTGGAATAAAGGGTCTTATGATTTAAGGGGTATAGAAAAGGGGAAATCATACATATTATGTGCCTGAGGTCTGAAAGTCCTGTGGTCTGGGACCAAGCATGAGTAATTAGGTCTGTGGCTGAATATATAGCTCAGCTGCTTGTCTTACACCTCCATCTATAACATCCAGAAGCTTCGTGTTTCTTGGAAAGTCCTTTGGGACTTCTAGAAGTGATGTCACCTATGCCCGACAGCCACTCGTCACTGCTCAGCAAGTCACGAAGGACTGAGGGGGAAAGAGGAAAGGCTTGGCTTAGTCACAACCTTTCTCTGTCTACGGGATTTTCAGAGTGATTCAGGGCTTGCTTTTACATCCTTTTCTGGAAGATGTATGGGCAGTAAAAACATGCAGGATCCGTGCATCTGGCCTCCTGCCTGTGCTGCACAAAGCAGTGTACTCTGTCCAGAGGCCCAGAAGCCTGTTTGTCCCTCTCAGGGCTGCTGAGCCCTCAGACAGAGAATGACTGAGGTGCAAACCGAAGCATGGGAAGGCAGAGCTAGAAGCTTCTTGGATAAGTGTCCTGTGAAATGCATTTTCTCTGTGTACAACTTCCCCTTTGTCTTCTGCTCTCCTTTCTCCCCAGCCTGTCTGAGAAGAATGAGAGCAGTGGCTCTCAGTGGGAGAATTTTGCCCCCAATTTTTCCCCCAGGGGACATTTGGCAATGTCTGGAGACATTCTTGGTTGTCAGTCTGGGGCAGTACATTGCTGCTGGCATCTGGTGGGCAGAGGCCAGGGCTACTGCTAAACACCCTGCAATGCACAGGACAGCCCCCCACAAGTAATTATTCAGCCCCAAGTATCATTAAGTGCGAGGACTGAGAAACTATAGCTAGAGTGCAAGTTCCTGTAAAAGCTGCTGCATTTTCCAACAGCACCCTACACAGTCAGACTTTTAGACAGGGTGTCTGCTCAGAGCAGGTTTGACCTGGATTCTGCTTGTCCTGTGTCTCTGGGGTCTAGAAGAAGTAGGAATCGTCCTCATTCTGACTGATGACAGAGCCAGGATCTGGTTGATGACTGCTGTGTGTCAGGCTGTCTGCTTGTGTCAGAGCCCAGGGCTCGTGAGGCGAAGATCGTGTCCTATGTGGGCCATTCAACTAAATACAGAGAAACCTGCTCCTCAGCCACGTGAAGGGGAGCGAACTCAAAGCACCTATGCAGTGGCAGGGCCTGGGCGTGTCCCCCTTTGGGTGAGAGGGGGGATAGTGTCTTCACTCTGCCTGCAATCCCAGTTGCCACGCCAGCACACTCATTGCCACGCACAATCTGTCTTTGGTCTGGATAGCAAAAACCCTGACCTTTCCAATAATCCTGGGGAAAAGCTCACTTTTCCTGGCTTACCAAATAAAACTCTATTCATTAGATACACATTTTATTGTATGAAATCCTTGACAATCATAGGATGACACAGGAAAAGTAACTTAATATGGACTTAAAATTCCCTTAGTTGCATGTCCTTCCTATAATTACAAAGTAAGATTTTGTTAACTATTATGATTATATTTTAATGATTTCTTTAAGCGGGAAGAACTATTTAGGGAGGAATTAACACATGTGTACAATGAGGTGGGCTTGGATGTTTATTCTCATTCTGTAAGAATTGTTGATTAACAGCAACTGACTTGTATCAATTCAAGTGCAAGGCAGTGTATGAGCTTAAGTGAAAAGAAATGTCTCTCCATGAGGATAAAAGGAAGATTTTCCTAAGCCTCGTGCAGAATGACCACACTTGCAAGCTGGGAAAGAAGGCAATAACTCCTCAGTTCTTTTTTTTTATCCTCACCCGAGGACATATTTCCATTTTTTGTTCAGGTAGAGCGGGAGGGAGAGAGAGAGAGAGAAACATCTATGTGAAGGGAAACATTGAGTGGCTGCCACCCGCACGACCGACCAGGGCCGGGGACAAACTGCAACCGAGGTACGTGCCCTTAGCGGGAACCGAACCCGGGTCTCTCAGGACGGCAGGTGGACGCTCTAACCGCTGAGCCAAACCGGCCAGGGCAACTCCTCAGTTCTTGAAAGCTTCTTCAAAGGGCTCCCAACAAGAGCAGAATCACCTGCAGCTCCCCTTAGTGACAGAGATGGGTGTGGGGGGACAACGTCCGCCCTGCAGTTGGGCCCCATGCTCCTTCTCTGAACCCTCTCAGCCAGTGCCCGAGTCTGAAGATTCATTTCGAGAGCCAATACGAAGGTCTCCTCCTGTGTCCGAGGAAGACCTAGGGCAGTGGAAGTAGGAATGTGGCTTGCATGTGAAATGATGTTGATAACGACTAGAAGCGGTAACTGTGTTCTGTGCACTCTAGGTGGTGCCATATCTAACATGTATGCCATGCTGATTGCACGCTTCAAGATGTTTCCAGAAGTCAAGGAGCAAGGAATGGCCGCTGTTCCCAGGCTCATTGCCTTCACATCTGAGCATGTACGTGTTCCTGTTCTTTCCAAGTTTAAGGTTGTATTTCGTAAAGCCCGGGTTTAAGGAATGATGTTTGAAAATGCTTTATCCCCAGAGGTTCTCTTTCCAGAAGATACATTTTGGAAAAGAATGAGGGAGAGAAATGCTGAGTGGTACAATGGGTTGAATTTCTCTTTGAAATTCAGGAAAATTCTCAAAGAGAAAGTGGGATGTTCTACCTGCAGTTCCTACACTTTTTAGTAATACTGTTGTGTGTTGGGGGAAAGGTAGGAGGAGAGAAAACAGAGTGACTATGATCTCCTTCAGACTATTGATACTGCTGTGCCTACATAAGTCAAAATTCCAAAGTACCCTGCTGATACAATCTTCGTGTTTAAAAATTCTGATCAGATGGTCTACTCTCATGGTGTCTTGAACCCCTTAATGTTAACCTTTGGCAGACTTCACTAGAGGTTTTATCACTGTAGGGAAATGGCACAGTGATCTGTCATATCTCATCTCTGGGCCAGATCTGTCTTAGCCAATCAGAGGCTCCTACTTGCCACGAAGCTGCTGGCCAGGCAGGATGCTGGGAGCTCGGGTCTCCCTTCCTCAATGCCAGGGCATCGTATGTCATATTCTTTCCATGGCTTTCCCAGAGTTGAAACAAGGTCCATCCTGTTCACGTAAATTGTGCTAACAGCTTCCTGTCACATACCAAGGTAAAGCAGCACAGGAGCCCAAAGCCGCCCTGCAGCTGTGTGAGCAACACCTTGGTACAGAACTCTCCCACCACACAGGCCCTGCAGTGAACGAGAGACTGTTCTTCAGGTGTAAGATAAACATTACGTGCTGTAGCATTCCTAAGACTGCTGTCAGTACCTTGCCTCAAAGTAGCCTAGGGTCTGGAAAACAACTGTCTGAAAGATCAAGAAGCCCTTTGATGATGGGGGAAATAGGAAATGGGGAGGGAGGAAAGGGATCTACAGGAAAACTAGAAGCTCCTGAAAGAGATGTCAGTCAGGAGAAGCAAGGAATCACAGTGGGCCTCAGATCTACTACAGAACTTTTCTTTATATGCTTTAAGGTGTGTGTGTGTGTGTGTGTGTGTGTGTGTGTGTGTGTGTGTGTGTTTATAACAAGGAAACTGAGAGCAAGTACAGGTTGCAAGCCATTGTGTACAATTCATAACCACAGCAGTAGCCACGGGATCAAAAAAAAACTAATGATTCGGGCCGGCCAGTGTGGTTCAGGGGATTGAGCATCGTCCCATGACCTGAGAGGTCCTAGTTTGATTCCCTGTCAGGGCACATGCCAGGGTTGCGGGCTCGATCCTCAGAAGGGGGCGTGCAGGAGGTAGCTGATTGATGTTTCTCTCTTACATTGATGTTTCTCTCTCTCCTTTCCTCTCTCTCTAAAAAAATCAATAAAGAACATATTCTTTTAAAAAGAAACTAGTGATTTATGTTAAAAAAATATCTTTAGCATGTTGTTTTTAGTCATGTTTACCATAAACTTAGTGGCTTAAAACAATATGACTTATTATCTTACAGTTTTAGAGTTCAAAATCGAACAGGGGTGAGGCAGGGTTGGGCTCCTTCTGGGGACAGTAGGGGAGAGCCCTTTTCCTTGCCTTTCCAGCTTCCAGAGGCCACCTGCCTTCCGTGATGCATGGCCCCCTTCTCCACTTTCAAAGCACGGAGTATCTTCAGATCTCTCTCTCTCTGACCTCTGTTTTCATCACCAGATCTTCTCTAGCTCTGACTCTCCCATCTCCTCTTTCCCTTGTAGGGACCCTTGTGATTACTTGGGTCTATCCAGATAGCCTAAGATAATGTCCCATCTCAGTACCTTAATTTAATCACATTTGTAAGATCCCTTTTGCCATGGAAGGTAACATATCCCCAGGTTTCAGGGATTAGGATATGGACATCTTTGGGGAGGAAGGCATTTTTCACTTTACTAGACCTAGTACGCCCATCATCAGATAATTTTCATTTCTCAGCTTCTCCGTGGGTAGAAAAACATGATGCAGTTTTTTTTCTAATAACCCTGCAGTGGATTTGGATCCCTACATAGTTGTTAAATGTTACTATATTCTCAGTCTCAAAAATTTCAGCTAGTCTTATATTGGGTATCTTTTTCTTTCGGCTTCTGTGCTGATTATATGAAATGAGGTTGGTCGACCAGCAAGCTGCTCTGTGCTCTCTGGTTTCTGCATGAGTTTCTTGGGCTCAAGCTTCATGAAATTGACTTAACCTTGCTCAGAAAGCTCAGGTCATGTGGCCTGGCAATGATTTTACTATGCTTATTTGCTTGCTATTGCAAACTTTATTTCCAAAGAAAGGTCATTCAGTTATACAACAACCATTTGATTCTCCTTCCTCTTTCTTGGATCTCTATCCACACACATAATTATGAAAGAACATTTGAATTATAAACCTGCCCTAAAATCCCAACTGGTTCTAACTGCAAGCTTAGTTTTGACAAATGAACTGTTTTCCTAATGTATAATACCTTATATCTGGTAACTATTTGACTGTTTCCGACACACTTCCAATACACATTAGCTCATTTGATTCTCATGGCAATCTTGTGGTACAGGCAGAACAGAAATTGTTATTAGTGTCTTATAAAGGAGAGGCTGTAGTAGCTATGTAGACAAAGCCAAGAGTAAATGGGTTTCCTGACTCCCAGACCAGTGAAGTCCCTGCCTCCACTGCCAACATAGAAACCAGATTTAAAGGTTCAGCAACAAAGGTTTGTAGATCACAGTTCATCAATTGATTTAACATTTTCTACCTTCCCAAATCAAATTTCCACCAAGAGTTTTTTCTGAATGTGAAGGTGATGCTAAATTGTTAGCTCCCCCAAAGAAAAAACCTGCTGATTAACTGGAAAAACTGGAGGGGGTTTTCAACGTTTATTGAAAGCACTTTTATGTCTCCTTGAACAGTTGATCCAAATCATTCTGGATAGATGAGACAACAATTTGTTAAAGGCCAAGGAGGGAGGAGGCCGGGGAGGGTGGAGGTGGGCAAAGTTGGAGGAGGGGGCTCCTGCCTAATGTCAGCATTAAAAGCATTTTTAATTAAAAAAAAAATCATTGAAGTTACAGGTTAAGAGGTAACTTGACCCCCCATGTCTAGTTCCTACTGGGCTTCATACTCAGGGCCATTCCATCCCATTTGTCATTTAGTGTAGCTCCTTCCAGCTTCAGGCCAAGCCATATGCTCCCCTAATCCTTCCAGATTTTATCGTCCCTATGTCTCCGCCAGCCCCAGAAATATATCTCCACAGGCCAAAGAAAGAAAATTACCAAGTTTTGTCTCAAATGCTTTTTCTCCATGTCAAAAATTTTTTTTTTTAATCCTCACCCGAGGACATTTTCCCAGTTTTTGTTCAGATAGAGCAGGAGGGAGAGAGAAGAAGAGAGAGAGAGAAACATCGACATGAAAGGGACAGACTGCAACTGAGGTACATGCCCTCAGTGGGAACCGAACCCGGGTCTCTCTGGACCGCAGGCCCACACTCTAACCACTGAGCCAAACCGGCCATGGCAAGGCCAAGCAATTTATGTCTGCATAGACATATCTTTCCTGAATAGCTTGACGTGCAGGGAGAAAGGATGGTGCAGGCTCACGACTTTTGGGGTATCAAATGAGAGCCTCATAGAACACTCACCTCAGTGCCTGGGACACAGGAAATCTACATATATATGAGATAACGTAAAACAAAACAAAACAAACAAAAACAAAACCCCTTTGTTTTATAGATGAAGAAACCAAGTCCCAGGGGTGGAAGATGCCTTGCCCAAGGCATCACAGCCATTCACTGGCAGAGTAAGATCTAGAGCCTCAGTTTCCCAATGGTCCCAACACTACTCTTTCAACTGCTGGCGGGGTGACCTGAACGCACTCTCTAGCTGGCTGCTCCACACCCACCTGTAGTGTCTTTTCTCAAATCCTGTTTGCCTGGTGTCGGCTATTCTAGTGCTAATATAATTTCCTGATCTATTGAACTTGGTCAAGTTACTGTCCTTTTGTTCTGAGCACTGAGTTAATAATGACCTGTTTGGAGCCATAGAGATGGCAATGGCATTGAGAAACTGTCATCTTCCATCATTCAATCAGAAACTTCATACATTTAAGAAGGGAAGGGTCATCCTTTATTTTCTAAATGGCTCCTCTCTCTCTCTCTCTCTCTCTCTCTCTCTCTCTCTCTCTCTCTCTCTCTCCACCAAAGCTACCCATTTCTTTTCTTTCCACCAAAACAGATTAGAACTTTCTTTAGCTTTAGAACTTTCTAAATCCTGTTTGTTCAAATCAAGCTGTTTTTTTGAAATTTTGAATAGGGCTAAATTAAACAAACACTACTGCTGTGAAGAACATTAGAAGTAAATAAATCACTGAGCTGAAACAAGAGAAAGCATGGAAGTCTGAGTGAAGAGTGCCAAGATTACTTTTCTTCAAAATATAGAATCACAAAGTCTCAGAATTGGAAAGGATCTCAGAGATTATCTGGTTCTATACTCATCCCTTGCTGGAATCTCATCACCTTCAAAAATCTTCAGTGATAGAAAACTTGGCAAAATTTGAGTTTTAGGTCCTTTATTGAAAATAGATTCAGAGAGAAGCTAAGATCGCAATGCAATAATTCACCTATCTGTCTCTCTCTCTCTATCCTTTGGAAGTTCCAACCATGAGCTTAATTCCAAATTCCTCTTATTTCCTCATGTGACACAAGTTCTTCCAGAAATAGCTTCAATGAAATGGCATAATTACACCCAGGAAAAATATTCTTCATAATCAAAACAGATACTGAGATCTTTCAGGCCAATCACCATAACTAACTCACTCAGCTCTTCACAGGCCAAACCCAGCTCATGTCGACGTCACCTGGGGCCAGTCATCAATGTTCTCAAGACCCCCCATGGCCTCAGCCCACTTCTTTGGGGAGCTGATTTTCATATTTGCTTTGGAAATATGTTTTCCACATATTGACACTATTTGGAAGGGTTTCAATTA